GAACCTCTGAACGGAATCCCTTTATGAAGAGCTTTGAGTGGGTTGGTTTATTTACTTTAAATTCCGATATAATTGTTTATCTTTTGACAGATACGCGTATTTCGTCTACTACTTGCAGACTTCATCAGTGCTAAGTACTCAACACCACTGAAGAATCCATCTTTTATCTACGAGTTATATACTAATCAATATGTACTAAAAATCAGCAGGTAACCACTGCCATGTCACAATTTACCAATCCACAGTCTCCAACAGGTAGAGGCATGCTACGATGTATGAAAATTCCACGCATTCAATGGGGGGTCGCGTCTCGAACATACAAAGAGATGTCATCTCTTCCCTGTGAAATCAAGTCATAGATGGCCCAGTGGTTCTCAAACTTATGTTGACTGTGATCCCCTTTGAGAAATTCCATAAGTTTGCGACCCACCCATTGGCGTAGCTATAAAATTTATCTGGAGGGGGCCTAGGGAGGCGAGTTTTAATTTGACTACGGTTAAATAAAAACTCGCTAAAATGCTTATTTTTGGATATATTTTTTCTGTGACCAATAATATGACATTGAGGCTTAGTTTTATTTTAATTGTGAAACAATAAATTTGATAATATTTATTTCATAGCAATGATTGCGACCTCGATTGGGCCGAGCCTTAAAAGCATACTGAATTTGAACAAGCAATGATCGTTTGTTCATGCTTTTTGTTATGAAACCACATAGCGTCCGGATGTCATAAATTTAAGCATTTCAAACTTAAGAAAATGCTCATAGTTAGGTAATTCTATGAATTTTGTAACTAGCTTTTTTATATTCTGAATATTTCATCATCATCGTGGTGAACCAGCCCCAGGTTGAAAAGCCTCTTTAATAAAGAAAACCTAACCTAACCTATTTCATCATCAGTTAAATCTCAGACATAGGAACCAACATTAAATTCTAGGAGCTTGAATTTGAAACATGGTAAAATGCACACAGAATAAAATTCATACATATAGGACTTAAACACGTTCCGAATTAGGATTTAAAAAATTCGAAAAATATTACAACTTATACTTTTGTGCGCGGAATCTGACGAAATATTGCTTGGAGCCAATGCCCATGATTGTGCTGGGTAATTTTAACATGGACCTCATGAACGAAGGGAACTTAAAGTTCGTCGAGTTCATGAAGAAATATTTGCACCTGGACATGGATCGTGAGTGGACTTAATTTTCGTTCGCAACGTCCGCCTTGACAATAAAAAGTATAACTCTTACCATCGCCCAGTTTTGTAATTTTTCGAGTTCTAGGCTCTTAACTCAGGGCGTTTACCATCGTTGCCAATCTGCACCGTACCGGAGTGTGAGCCAACAGGAAAGCCATGCTGTGTTCATCAGAACTCATCTGACAAATCAAACGGCCCTTTTCAGGGTCACACAAATTTTCTGGCTCTTTGAATTTCTATCTACTCAATGCAATAAGGCAGTTCTGTGTCAACCATATGACTGCAAGTTGCTTTTCCAGCGTCTGGTCCGTGATATCACCCAGGACTTCAAGACTGATCTGCGCTTCCAGAGCTTGGCCGTTAATGGCCCTACAGGAATCCAGCGAGGCCTATCTGGTTGGTCTGTTCGCCATCCACGCCAAGCGTGTCGCAATTATGCCAAAGGACATTCAGCTGGCTCTTCGTCTTTGTGGTGAACGCTCTTAATTTATCCGTCGAAATCTAACAAAACCGGCCCTTTTCAGAGCCACTAAAAGAGAGTTGGGAAGGAAATTTCTGCTGCTTACAACTGATCGCATCACAGTGAATCCTGATCTAAAAATTGCAACCAGCAAGCGGTGCGATGCTATGACGATGACTGTAAGGGGTGTAGAAGTAGAAGGGTGAACGCCAATTCTCTTTATCGATTTCCTCTTTTGTGATGACCATGGCTTCCTATTGCCATCGAGTTAACGTTATCTGACCGTGCACTTCGTAGTTGCTCCTCCGTGAATGATCAGAACTAATCCACTTGCACAGAGAACTACATAGATGGTGCATGGGATAAGCTTTCCATCTTCAATGTACAAGCACATTAATTCAATCTATAGATCAATTCACAGCGCCGGTCTTTTGGGGAGGGAAGGATGATTAGTTCGACGTCCAGTTGCTACTAGAGACCGAGAATACCTCTACATCTCCACGGCTGTCTCGAGAAGGATAGTTGTGTTAGTGAGGTAGATTATTTTTAGATCAGGATTCACTGTGGTATGTGATGCGATCGGTTAAAGCAGAATTTGTTTTTATTTAAATCTAGTGCAAGGAAGGGGACAGGCTTGGGATTGAACTCTTTGCCTTCTGCTCAGTAGGCAGAAACGGTAACCACTGAACTACCGAACCTCGTCGTAATGCTACATCGACATGTTTCGTCTAGTAATGATTCTCTGATGACTGTGTTGGGGAAGCTGCATATGCATGTACGTAATTGGTGGATTTGTTAGTTAATTAGACGCTTTTGGACAATGCTGGACATTTACCACTTTTTCAATAGTTTCCTGTTGAAAATAAACATTCGAAAGCATTGTTATTTTGTTTATTTGTTTATTTGTTTATTTAATAATTCAACTGACAATTAATGTCTTAATGAATAAAACTTAATCTAAATAGTTATGGTCAACGAAACGAAAACGGTCAAGTAACCGGTGACGAAACACATTTGCTGATACGTTAAAGTCAAATTCGCAATAAAAGTAGTTAAATTGTCGGCTGATTGCACGAATTGGCTCATTCTGCGTATAATTTCTGCCTCGTGGCTCCAAAAACAGAAATTCGCGTTGACGAAGAGGTCTCTCAGGAGCATACATATTTAGCTATATTAGCGTAGCTATATTTATGATCGATTGGTGATAAATTTCTTGAAATTGGACGAGGGGTAGCTGAGTTATTAACGTTCAAAATCTTTCACAATTTTGTTTCATGTTCCATTTTCGGTTTTCACAAATTGTACCCCCATATAGAAATCACAGACGTAGTCCTACGTCAAAAAATACACACGGATTTTTTTTTATGTGTTAAGGTATTTAAACTATCCTGCAGCTGAATAACATTCTTCCACAATTTATTAAATAATTAGGATTCATTGACACTTAGTTTAGTAAAACATGATACTTGAATATTGTATGCTACTTATCGTCAGCTATATAAAATTGAAATCCAAGCAATATTTTTTTTTGTTAGAAAAAACACATCAAGGCAATCATTGGAGTCTCATGATGATATACTTTAAAGATTTCTCTTGATATCTATCACCGACCATGTTATACGTGACAATTTAAAGTGCAACGCAATTCACCCAGGTGATCAATTTTCCCCCGCATTACGGTACTTCCTGAACAACTTACAGTCTTGGAACATTGAATTCTTAAACAGTTTTAGATCATCAGAACTTGGTTACATTTGATTCAGTTGGTGTAAGAGTAGGGTCAGACTTGTTATGATAGATAGCTCCATAACGTTACTTCTAAAGTGACCGATAAGGTAGGGCACAGCAATGATGGAGGTGTTTTGCTGCATGGGTGAAGCGACCACTGTCCACTGAACCACCACCGACTTGTCATAGAGTAGTGGGAGATGGAAACTAGCTACGGGGAAGGTGAGAGTCGATGATGAGGTGAGAGATCGTTCGGCCGAGATACAGTAGGTTGCAGACTGTGGTGCAAGAGAGTTTGTTTTTTTTACGAGATGGTAGACTGTGGTGCGGGATAGAAACCGTTTTTTTTACGTAGGATTACGTCTTTCGGCAACATATTGGGGGAGCAATTTCAAAAAACAAAATCGACCGCATTACGAAAAGAGGTCAGGTTTTGACCACATATATATATATCTGAAAATTATACAAATGTCCAACTGTTGCAATGGTGATCAAAATTATCATCGATTGCCTGCAAACAGCGCTTTCCCTAACACAGATTTAAAAATCGAATTCCATGCGGTCTCACTGAACGGTGCTCATTCAATCACTGTCTGTGGTGGTGTCCGGTCGTCGATATTAGTGCCCCCTTTTTGCAAAAACAAAACCCCCTTTTTGTGAGTTTTTGCCTGTTTTCAAGTAAGGAGTTATCATTAAAAAAAAAAACAAATCGCCAGCCGGTATTTCCCGGCGACTTTACTAAATGATACATTAAAACAAAATCATCATGCAGAGCTAGGATTTGTTTTACTTCATATTTCACAAAATTGCACATCGTCTCCCGCAAACTTCACATTTTGACGTAGGATTACGTCTTTCGGCAACATATTAGGGATGCAATTCCAAAAAAAACCAAAATCGACCGCGTTACGAAAAATTCTAAACAAGTCAATCAATTGGAAATTTTTCTACGAAGCTGCAAAAACGAATACTTTATCAATTTTCAATAGGTTACTATTGAAAATTACTCAAATATCCAACTGTTGCAATGGTGATCATGGTGCAAAATTATCGTCGATTGCCTGCAAAAAGTGGTTTTCCTTACACAGCCGCCAAATATTGATACCGGGCACGGTATCCTACATGGGCACAACCACTTACTTTTTTTTTGTGCCGAGAAGTTTGTGGTACCTGGCAAGATCCCGGAGATCGGGAAAAGAGTGATTTCTCGACGATCACGGTCTCCAGCGTTGGTCACGTGTTGCGGAATCTACTTATTGACCGCTCATCAACCGGCCGATCGCTAATCGTCCAAAACCATCGTCCGGACCGCCCTTGACGAACAGTCGGACACTGTGCGCCATCGTCGCAAACTGATCATCGCCATCCGGCCATCACCATCCAGCCATCGCCATCCGGCCATCGCCATCCGGCCATCGCCATCCGGCCATCGCCATCCGGCCATCGCCATCCGGCCATCGCCATCCGGCCATCGCCATCCGGCCATCGCCATCCGGCCATCGCCATCCGGCCATCGCCATCCGGCCATCGCCATCCGGCCATCGCCATCCGGCCATCGCCATCCGGCCATCGCCATCCGGCCATCACCATCCGGCCATCGCCATCCGGCCATGGTCATCTGGCCACCGCCATCCGGCCACCGCCACCCGGCCATCGCCATCCGGCCATCGCCATCCGGCCATTGCCATCCGGCCATGGTCATACGGCCATCGCCATCCGGTCATCGCCATCCGGTCATCGCCATCCAGCCACTGCTACCCAACTGTCACGACGGTGGAATGGAACAGCCGGATGGCCGGATTCCAATGCGTTAATTAGGAAAGCCGACAAATCCTGGGACCTGGGAACAAAAGAGGCCTTTGGTGCCCACCCCAGTGGCTTCCGATAGGCTAAGGCGATAGGCTTCTGGGACGGTGCAGAATCTCCCGGGGTCCAACAGCTAAGAGTTTCAAAGTCTTGGAAAAATGTCCATAGAACTTTACTAATATATTTGTTTATATGGATATCTTTTGAATATTTTCTGCTGTTTAGGAAGGATATCTGAAAGAATATCCTGTAGCTTATGCATCGTTTTCTGAACATCTAAAATTTACTAAATTCCCTCAACTTCTACGAAGTTCCCTGAATTTATTCCAAATTCCATATTTTGTCAAGCTCTCTTAATTCTACCCAGAGATGAAACAGCGTTCGGTTGAAAGTATCCTTAATAAAGATAACTAACTAATTAACTAACTACGAAGATCTTTGAACATCTTTGCACTTCTGGAAAGGCGCCTATCATCTACAAATATTTTTGAACATCTGGAAAGTTCCATGAAATATAACGAAGTTCTCAAAACCCCCAAGAAGTTCATGAAGCTTTTTCGAATTAAGATCTCTGACAAACTGCAACGAAGTTCCCTATACTGAAGCGAGGATGCCTGAAGTTCCTAGAAGTTTATTGAACTATCTTTAAACATTCTACAAAATTCCCTGAACTTTTCAAAATTCCTTACAATTATATGAAGTTTTACCCAGCTCATCAAAATGCTACGAAATTTGCAAAACTTCTACAAAGTTTGCTATTCATCTACGTTTCTCGATGATTTTCCGCGAAGTTCCACGAACGAATTTTCTTACATTTGTAAGTAATTTCCACAACTATTCCAAGAACATGACGCTTCAAAAAAGTGCCCTGAAATTATATAGAAGTTGCCGATCAATAATGAGCTTCTCTGAAATAAAATAATGTTCCCTTTGTTTCTGCGAAGCTTCTCAAATTCAAATAAATTTTCCACTTCTACGCAGTTTTCAGAAATTTTAAAAAGTTCTTTGTTTCTACGAACTTTTCTGTAGATCTATAAAGATCCCAAAATTTATAATAAGTTTCTCAATTTCTACGATGTTTCCTGAACTTATTGGACGCCCTTGAAGTTTTACGAAGTTCCCAGAAGTTAAAGAAAAATCCCCGGGTTCATAACCAATTTGTAGAGTATGTAGACGTCTTATTATGCCATCAAAATTGTTTCTTCTAGTCCAAAACGTAAGAAAAGTTGTCAACATTAAGGACTTTAAACAAAAGATTAGTAACATCGAACTTGACAAGCTTAACAAAATACCAGTGAATAAAAAAAAAGTACCAAAAGTTCTGGGAGAGGGGGCTAGATAATTCTGCAGGGGGCCGGGCCCCCTGTGCATCCCCAGTAACTACGCCAATGGACCCACCCGTACTGAAACCTTAAGTTGTAATAACACCAAAATGGCTTTGAAATTCGAAAGAGCTGCATGATTGTCGGAATCCCACACACAAAATGGCATTGATAAGTATAAATTAGGAAATTTCTCCAAAATGCCAAAACGCTAAAATGCAAAAAATAACAACTTAAAAATGGCAAATATTTAAAGAAAACTCCAATTCTACTTCAAAGGGTTGTTATAAAGAAAGATATAATTTTCATTTAATTTCATTACCTTAATAGCAGATTCTTTACAAATTCATGTATTTCGTCTACACTTAGCAGACTTCTCCAGTGTCTTGTACTAATACTCGCAACTTATAATATATTGGAATCAGATAGGGGAAATGGTTGTAATGTCAGCCTAAATGTCCCTAATTTTGGCCCATACATAAATTCAGTAATCGACTAAATTTTCAATAGCGACCAAAAATATCCATAAGTATCGTCCTGATGACTTGATAAAATTGATTAATAGCAGATTTTTAGTGATGGGCCCAATCTTAGATCCATAGGCCAACATTAAAGCAACTTCCCCAATATTTGCTTTAAAATGAATAGCGATGTTTTGAGATATAAGTATACTATCTTTAATTCTTAACGTCTAAATGTCCTAAGCGGCGCCGGTGGTATAGTGGTAAGCGTGATTACTTCTCACCCCAGCAGGCCTGGGTTCAATCCCAGTCGGCGCCGCCGGGATGTTCTGAGGCATAACATCTCTGATGACGCCTAAGGGAAGTCAGTAAAGCTGTTGGTGCCCGGTTCATGAGTTGATGCGTCGATAGGTAGGGTCCAGGAGTGGGAGCTGTCTCCCTGGCGTCGGTAGCATTGGTACTCAGTACGGAAAAAAAGATCAACGGAAAACAAATCAAGGAAAAAAAAAATCAAATTCCTAAATTGAGTATACATTTGGGAACGATGTCGAACAAATCACTCACTTGTAAATCGAAACTCTACCCATCAGTGTCTATACGAACGAAGGTTTCTTGTCGTCAATGAACATTTAAAATCTCGTAAGGTTGTTTCGAAAAGTTGTTTCAGCATACGCCTTGAAATATTTGGATTATTTTATCTGATTAACTTATTTTGAACCTTGCAATCATTTGATGTCTTTATCACAGTAACTCCAACGAAACCATTATCATATTTACCAGACACGAGAAAAACAGCATGGAAAAGTTTTTGCGACAAATCCGCTTCACAAAAAGTCATTCAGCTTCACATGTCTCTTATCTGAGTTTGGTACGAAGAATTATTCAAAGCATGTTGAAAAACTTGACAGCGCTGCTATCGTCGTCTGCTCACCGATTGACTGACAGTAACGGATAAGCATACGTACCCGGTTTGATGAGGAAACTTTTGATCTAAACAACTGCTGAAGAATTTCATTTCCTTTTGAAAAAATCCTTCCTGGCGCGGTACCTTTGAATAAAAAGTTCTATTCACAAGAATCCAATGTCGTGCCTAATCCGTATCAACATCCAGTCAACCAACCCAACAGGCATTGAAATACATACGACATTATACTTTTTGCCATAGCACAGTGCTCGAATATACAACCGGTTACCATATTCAGTGTAAATACTTTCACACAAAAGATGAAAGTGGTGCGAACTGTGCACGGTAACAAACATATTTCCTTCTAAATGTGTGAGCTCAAATGCCACCTCCCGCGATACCCAGCCGACCCTACCGAGTCCAAATGTGCTGATAAAACATCCCCCCGCAGGAAGCAATTGGAATCGTCTCTTCCGCTTTCCGTTGCGACAGAAATTCGCAACCCTCTCCCGTCCGATCCCGAACACTTTTTAAAGCGATTTAAAGTGCAAACTATGTGCACTTGTTCCTTTATGGTTCTTTATGGTGTGAATAGGATGAAAGATTTACAGTGCAAGTGGATTTATTCTGAAATCACCTTTGAAATTTATTCTAGCTATCCGTTATCTAAGCGTTTGCGGTTGGGGTTGAGTGCTTTGAAAATTTTCCCGAGGGAGAAACTGCCGCTTGGTACGTACATTTTGGTAATGTCAATAAATTGATCTTCAGAAACTTCATTAAAAACTGATCGCTGGATTACTTTGGGGTTCTTTCTCCTGTCGGAAGTTTAGCACAACATTTAATATGGATAGTTCATTCAGTAATTGAGATTCCAGATTTAAAAAGCTTAATTAAAAATCATTTTCTGAAATAGAATATAAGTAGCATTCACCTGATTTCCCGCTTGACTATGTTGGATCATTGCATCTAAGCTTGGTCGAAGGCGATTGAAATGTCATCATGTAATGTAGGAGAAACTGGACTTACTTCTTCCCCCCCCCCCCCCTTTTGTTTCATCAAAATGCAGAAGGATTTTTTCGGGAAAGGAATCGATAAATTGCTGCCAAAAAGTTGCTAATAGTTGGGGCCCAGCGTGAAGATGTTTATGGTGATAAAGGCGTGAAACTAATTCCGTGAATGGATGTCTAGCCGGTAAAACCATCGGGTGTTTCGTCTGTTGCGATTCCTCGGAGTGCGCTAGTCTACCACCAACTCGCAGGATACCGTTTTCATCGATTCGAGAGTTAAACCATCGCAAGGGCGAATTTCGACGAACGGGAGAGCCTGATGACAGATGCTTGATCTCCTCCGAGAATGATTCCGCTTGCACCTTCCGGATGATCGCACAATCGGCTAGGTTAAGCTCTCTAGCGAATAGAAATCCTGTCCGTCTTTGTTCTTCTGGACACCGTATGTTGTCCATGAAGCGTAGCCAGTAAGTTGTTGTGCGAATTAGTCTAGTAAACGATGAGAACTTTACTAAGTAATCCGAAACGAATTCTCCTTCCATCGACGAAGCGCAAACTACCACATTGCTTCGTCGTTCTAACTCTTCTTCTGGTGGGTTTCCAGCTCCTTTCGGCCATTCTTCGGGAGGATCCTCTAACCAGGTGGGCCCATGCCACCATAAGTCGTTCTCGAGAATATCTTTCGGAGCGATTCCGCGTGAAATTAGGTCAGCGGGATTGGTGCTTTTCGAAACATGTCTCCAATTGTTTCCCTTTGTCATCACTTGCATTTTGGCGACCCTGTTCGCCACGAAAGTGGTCCACGTTCCTGGAGAAGAACGAATCCAGTGGAGAACACAGGTTGAGTCCGACCAGACTGTTATTTTACTTTTCTGGGGCTTACTTACTGCATTAAAAATTAGAAGAATCTGTTTCCACCTAAACACATAACAGATGCGTTTCTCTGAAAAGCAGAGCGCAATAGGAAAATCCTTTCTTTGTTTCCAGCCCAAGCTGCCAGCAGAGAGCAAACTGATGTTGAATCACTTCCATTTCACTTTCTTTCACTTCCCTTTTTAAAGTTTGGATCATTCTCTGCCGCAAACGAAAGGGATGGGCTGAAAGGCACTTTGTTGCTTTATCGAAAACTTATCCCCGGTTAAGTTTAAGTTCAATGGAAAATCCTGAGCTGAGTCGACTTTTAGGAAAGTTTTTTTATTCCCGGAAAAGCGGGGTTGAATGAAGAGTTAATCGATAAATTGCTTTGATTGGTGGAAATTCCATTTTGTTGAGCGTTTTCGGTCACCGAACCCACGGTGATGTGGCAGCAAACCATAATGCAACCCAAGGATCACATAAATTATTCTCTCTGAAATGGATTTTCCTGCTTTACAAATTTACGACGTTTCTAATTTGTTTTCTTTCCTGGTATGGTGGCAGTTCTTGCCCCGGTTTTCCATCCATTGGTGTCAGAGTGTGTGGCTTTTTGTGTACCGTCACAACTTCGTTGCTTTCACACGAAATGCTTGCTTGCGAGTGCGAGATTGTTTTCGGGGAGTTCTCATTTACACCTGGTTAGGAGCGGTCGTTTGTTTAAGGGTGCCATAGTCAAACATCGACCACGGTGGGAGCCATCGTGAGGGAGGAAATAGAACGAGATTGTTCTTAATTAAACAGAAGTGCAGCTAAATGGATTGTTTTAGAAGAATGCTGTTATGGATGGTTTTCAATGCAGATGTCTCAATTTCCACAAGATTATGATTCATCCAGAGGCCTCAAATGGCCTAGTTAGTAAAGGTGCTGTATTCCCAAGCCGGAGGTGGCGCATAAAGTATAGAGTATCATTGTGCATGTCATTGGTTGGTGTAGAAAGCTTTCAATTAATAACTGTGGAAGTACATCTGGAACACAAAGTAGTACCGGCACAAAGAGAGCTGGCAAAATGCTCACTATAGAAGCGCTAAAAGCTTGCAAGAAAAAGAAACAAAGATCCTTCCAAAGAAAATATTGTTGGTAATTTGAAGCACTAATGTTTGTAATTTTTTCAAATAATTTATTAGCTTCTGTATATTGAATATAATTCAGAAATAACTCACTTTGCTTTTCCAAAAAATTTAGCTACATAGAGTAAATAACTGATTCGCCAACCAGTGTCTGTTTTCGGCAATCTAAACTGAAACGTTAATTTCACTGGATGTTCTCGCCTTCTAGCCCATGTATGCAAACGATTCTTTAGTCTTTCAGCTCCAATTTGATCAGATTTTTCCGGCTGATGGAACGAAACATACGCACTGCATAATGTAGCTGATTTCGGATAACACGCAGTTCAAATGGAAAGGGTGCCGAATAAAAACAGTTTGGAGTTTTGTAAAAGCGATGTTTATTTTTGAAAACTTATGAGCATATTTTGAGCAGATTTGTGTCATAGTTGGTAAAACACCGGAAATCTTAAAATGGATTGGCCATTCTGAGGACGATTTTCAGGTCAAAACGAAAAAAAGTGCTCAAAGGTTACAGGAACATCTGATGAAGGGGTCGTCCATACAATATATTTCTCAGGACGCTAATTAAAAAAATCTAAATATTATGCGTGACGATTTATTATAGTACTCATCATTTACAAAAAGTTTTCCAAACTCGTTCAAGTTTTCTACTGAAAACAAAATCCTGACATTTCCTGGTTTTCCACAATGCTTGCAGTTTAGACGTAATCTTAAAGCTAACCTTTTCTCTCATGTCTTCATCCGTTCGCATTTAAATTCCCCTAGCTTCACCCTCACCCAGCCAGTTCGATTTACCTGATTATATAACAACATTCCAAATCCAAAAATGTTTTGGGATCACGCTTTGCAACCAACACCGGCTGGTCATTGTTTCTTCGCACCGCACACCTTCTAGTCCCAAATGTATCGCTCACGTCTTGTGGTGGCTCAGCTGAGCGCCAAACCAAGCTAAGGTGTGTAACGAAGGGCAGAATAATGCTCGTTGAAAATCTAATTTCGGGTGAAGTAATTTGGCGTGTTATGGCAGAAATGGTTGAATGCCGAGCGACCCAACCAACCCACCAACGCATGGCATGGGGGGATGTTTTGGTCGAGATAAGACCCGTTCGGAGACGCTTCTATTATTTTGCGTGGCAGAAATTAATAGCGCGCGTCCGCAGCAACGAGAAAAAGGGTACGACTTGCTTCGTGTTATTTGTTGATTAAGGTGACTTGAGGGAGAGATGGTTATTGAAGATTAAGCGGCAACTCGAGAGAAAGAGGGAGAAGCAGAGGGATATTTATTGATCCATATCGTGAGTAATTTAATTCATCGGCTCGAATATTCACGTCAGATCAAACGGTAAGCGCCGGGAAGTCTTGCAATAAATTACAAATAGCCCTGTTCCCCGGGTGCCATGGAAAAATTCCATCCGGTCATGCATAAATTTTCATAATCTTCCCCTCTTCTTCCTTACAATGGACTATATTTTCCTCTTTTCCACCCTTTATTTCGCAGGCCTGGCGAGTACTAATAATCATCAATTATCATCATCCATATCGCCTCCCGGGGCAGACTCCAGTGGCAGCAGTAGAAGCAAAAGCAGCAGTATCAGTACGAGTAGTATAAGCAGTAGTAGAAGAAGCCAAAGTTGGCCCCAGCATCAGCATCAGCAGCAGCAACATGTGGACGGGGAAGGAAAATTAATAGACAATAAACTACGAGACAAACTACTTTCTTACATCAGTAGCAGCAGCAGTCAGGGAGGCAGGAGATACCGGAGAGCCAAGCGGGGTGAGAGTATTTTCACCGAAGATAAGATAAATAAATACTACGATAATAGAATAAGTGATGAGCAACCACTGCAAAGGGGAAAAACCGTCCCTAGCATCACCGAGGAAGTTTTGCAGATAAGCAATCTGACCGAGGAGCGAATTCGAGAGGAGAATGAATTGTTGGATCATCTGAATCAGTGAGTATCTCCTAACCTACCCATACAATACAGGCGAGACGAGTGCGAAAGTTATCCTTATAGATTGTGACATTTATTGGATTGTACTGCGTCGGAGTGTGGGCAAAAATCGGTCATTTGATTTTCTACGCTTTGCCCCATCATCTGTGGGGGACGATTTTGGTGACCTCTTTCTGCCGATTTGAATTGAAGGGCAACTCAGAAGGATGTTGGGCACCGGAAATTGGAATCGAATTGATTGATTGATCGCTTTTGGGGTCAAACGGGTTGGATTTTGGAATACGGGCCTCCATTGAACAAGTATTAGGGTAGGAAAATGGATCAGCTCTTGCGATCAAACGTCAAGTTTTGCTGTATAGCTGAACATTCCAAATAACGCAGGCCAGCATTGATTTGTTTATTTTTATATTCGATAATGGGTGTAGAAAAAAGGGAGTAGGAAATCTAAACAACAACTTTTAATGATTTTACACGTTCAATAATCTTGAAAATTTGTCGAGCTCCAAGGCAGAGATGCCAGATTTTTTTTTCAGAAGGCTGCAAAAAATGTCTGAAAATTTCAGAAATGTCTGTAAACTGTATAATGTACAATGTGAAATTTGAAATGTCTGTAAAAGTCATGTTCGAGCAAAAATGACCTGCTTTTAACGAATAGAACTTAATTGTAATTGGGAATGCATCCATTTAAGCCGTATACGTTAAAAGCAATTAATAAAAAGATAAATTATGATTATACGAAAAATGAGGTAAACTTAAAGTTGAGATTAGTTCACTCATATTCTTGAAAACGTAGTTAAATCATAGACTGGGTAAATCTTTACGAGATTTTACAGGAATGTGTAAAATATCGACAATCTAAAGAGCAATCTAGAAGCTTATTACAGTCATACCTCGATATAAAGCAACCTCGATATAACGTAACTCGATATAACGTAACTCGATATAACGTAACTCGATATAACGTAACTTCCACCTCGATATAACGTAACTTTTTTTTTAGTCTAAAAATTGAAAAATATTAACCCACAATCAATTATTAACGTTACAAATTCATTTTAAATTATTTTATACATAGTATTATTAAATTTTTCATGTTACGCTGGGTTGAATAAACATTTTTATTTTGCTTTATTATAGAGACTTTCAGCCTGTAACTGGTTTGTCTCTTTGAAGGATTGGGGCTCCTGAGGGGGTCCCGGAGAGAGAAAATAAATAAATTACATAGTGTTTGTTACAGAGTTTAAGTATCTCAGAGTTCTGTGTCGATTGTTTTAACAGTAAGGAAGGTGAACGAAGTTGTGGTTAATTTCCGAGAGAGAGAGTCAATGTCCGTAGCCTGCGGGGTTCTCATCGTTGTTCTTCCATTTGACATGTCATTTAGAGAGCTGGTGTTGTCCAAGTGCCGTCGTTCGTCCGTTGTCGTGTCATTGTTCGTTGCGGGGTTCTACGTATATTGATAATAGCCTGTGTCTTTAAGGAAGTCGAGAAGTTATCTTTCCATGTCTGGGTCATTGGATAATGCGTCTCTGATGCTGAGACCGATACCGCATTGGTCTCGGAGGTTTTTAAGTGCAGGGCAATTTATTATGAGATGCTAAACTAACATTTTGGTTGAGCACCCCATACATTGTTTGTGGAATCCATCACGGGATCCGAGATAGTGTGAGAATGTGGTGTAGCCGCAGTGTAATCTGGACAGTACTCTCTGGTCCTTCCAGTTTTTGGTGTCGGACCAGCATTTTGTATCTCCTTTTATATTGCATAAGAAACGGTCTCGGGTATTAGCCCATTCCTTGTCCCATGCCGAATCGTTTTGATCCAAATTTTTAAATCCGCTGCAGGGACTTCCGTTTCCACTGGGGTTTTATATCTGCCGATCGCTGCCAGCTTGTCCGCAGCCTCGCGTCCACTGATATTGCAGTGGCTGGGAACCCAGACATATACGGCGTTACTGTTCGAAGCCATTCTGATTGCTTGCACCAACGGGTGTCGGTTCTTCGGACTCTCAAGGGCCTTCAGCACACTGGCCGAATCGGTAATGATGGCCTTCCAGGAAAAACTGGACTCCGTAACGGCTGAGAAGATGGCAGCTGCCTTAGCCGAAAAGATCGATGTAGGCTTAGGAAGGCCTCTGCTGGTATCTAGGTTGGGGCTGAATACGCCATAGCCGACTTCTTGAATAAACATCATTTTTATCCTAGAGAGAGAAGCCAGCTCAATGACGGATGGTTTGTTTTCTTTGTCTTCTTTTTTTTCTCCCCTACCCAATCGTGTTGTTGGTTTGCGGAGGCAAGCCTGGGCCCGCACGAAAAAAGTTGTTTTCAACAGGATGATAGCCCCATTTCAAATGTTCGGCCTAGTTTGCAGTGACAGTTCATGACTGGATCTCGATGACGTTTGCGTGATCGATAGCAAAGCTGTCTCCTCTCTCTCAGATTTTCATTATTTCAGGCATGGGAGGCATGTCACGGAAAGTTTATAAATGGAGAAATAAACCAATACATACTGGGAAATATTTCATTCGACGGAGAAAACATCCAGTAATTTTGTCTGTGATCTCTATTGTGAAAACCCAAAATGGAACATGTAACAAAATTATGAAAGATTTTGAACAGTTATAACTCTGTCCATATCGGATGGATTTTAATTCTAAACAAGCCAATCGATTGGAAAGGCATCTACAAATCTGTTAAAATTAACGCTTTATCAATTGTCAATAGGTCACTATTGAAAATTGCACGAATGTGCAACTGTTGCTATCATAATTTAAATTATCATCGATTGCCTGCGAAGAGCGCTTTTCCTAACACAGATTTAAAAGTTGATTTCACTCCGGTCTTGCCAAACGGTGTTTATTCAATCATTGCGTGTGGTGAGTGGTGGTGTTGGGTCGTCATCAGCAGCAGCAGCAGTGCTTTCGGTGCTTGGCGTTCTCCAGTACATAATGAAAGCCTGCTGGCATGCAGCTAGCTGCATGCTCTCGATTCAGCCTTCGATTCTACGAAGAAAGAGGACGAAACCGCGACGCTACTGATCGGATTCAGTTGCGCGTCGTGCGCCACAGTGGGCCATATATTCCAAGTGCATCGCCCTCGTTCCAAACAACATACAGCTCGCCAGCTTTATCTGTATTGAACACCCTAATAGTAGCTCAGCATTACTCAACCATTACGACAAAACGTTCCTTTTCAGGACTACCATAATTTTTTTAAATAGTTTTTTCTGGACATTTCTCTTGGTCATTAATTGGATATCAGTTCCCATAAGTTTCAATCTAACATTCCATGTATTTTTAAGACAACCCACAATTACAAAAACCAAAGTTGGTCGCGGCATGAAAGTGATTTGATTTTCATCCAGAGATGATGGATTTTAATTCGTAAACGCCAATCGATTGGAAATATTTTTACAAATAAGAATAAGACTATCAATTTACAAAAGGTCACTATTGAAAATTGAACGAATGTGCAACTGTTGCGATGGCGATCAAAATTATCATGCCTGCAAAAAGTGCATTCCTTAACACAGATTTAAAAATCGAATTCCCTTCTGTTTCGCCGAACGGTGTTTACTCAATCACCGTGCGTAATGAATGGTGGTGTCCGATCGTCATTAGCAGCAGTGCGTTCGGCGCGTGGCGTTTTCCAGTACATAATGAAAGGCTCCCCGCAAGGAGCTAGCTATCAAGGCTGCCCACAAGAGCCCTGGATTCACCGAAGAAAGAGGAAGACGCCGCACCGCTACTGATTGGATTCAGTTGCGCGGCCATCTATACCAAGTGCGTCAACCTCGTTCCAAACAACATACAGCTCGTCAGCTTCATCAGTGTTGAACACCCTAATAGTAGCTCAGCATTACTCAATCATCACGACAAAACGGTCCTTTTCTGGACCACCATAAATTTGTTAAAAATCTCCTTCTGCAGTTAACAAATAACATTTTTCATATAAGACCACGTAGTCCTACGTCACCATTGCGTACAACCCCATAGGGCTGTCCCTTGTAATTTTTTTTATGTTTGTATAGTACAAATAGTGAAAATAGAACAATTGAACAATTAAGAAATTTAACAAATAAAATATGAATATGTCGCGTACTAAACAGAATCGCGAACGGTTGATGAATCTATATTCTCTCGCACGGGCATCACAAACTAACACTAACAGTGTGTGGCACGTTTCATTAGGTTCCTAGATTCGCCTCAATGCATTACCAATGCATGAATTTGTATATTGTGTGGCAAGCACAATAATACTCTATGCCCAGGGAAGTCGAGAAAATTTTCAACCCGAAAGATTCCCTCGACCGGACCGGGAATCGAACCCACCGCCTCTGGCTTGGTAATACCGTGCCTTTACTGACTAGGCTATGAAACACCGCTAGAAAACTCATCGGTAATATTAAAAAAATGCAGCGGTTGTACTAAAAAGTTGATTTACTTTTTTTTCCTTCATTTATTTTCCGTCGATCTTGTTTTCCGTACTGAATACCAGTGCTACCGACGCCAGGGAGCCAGCTCCCACACCTGGACCCTACCCTATTGACCCATCAACTCATGGACCGGGGACCAACGACTTTACTTCCCAACGGCGTCGTGATCAGAGATTTTATGCCTCAGAAATACCCCACAGGCACCGACTGGGATTGAAGCCCAGGCCTTTTGGGATGAGAGGCAATCACGTTTACCACTAAACCACCGGTGCCGCAGTTCATTCACTGTTAATATCGATTCCATGTTCACACAAACGGCATCATTTGAAATATTTAAAGTGTTTTAAGGATATAGATTTTAAACAACGAAAAGAACTAAGCACAAAAAAGACAAATCGCGGTCCTACATCAACCTTCCGTTCGTGCCCCTAGGCACAGACTCTAGTACTTTTTTTTTCATTTTCATATCTTTCATGTAAGCTTTGGGAACTTATCTAATAAAATTGTAAGAAAATTATATAAGAAAGGTTTTGTAAGCCTGTTAGATGACTAGAAAAAAATTGGGTCAT